TTTACCTGGGACAAATAGTCCGACTAGGTAAGGCCAACTTCTACCGAGAGGTCAATCGACGGATTCAACTCGGCTGGGTAACGTTCGGGAAATTACGACGATCTTCTCGTCAGGTATACCTCAAAACCTGAAAACTAAGTTGTACAACCAGTGCGTGTTGCCAGTGATGACCTACGGAACCGAGACGTGGTCCTTCACTGCTAGCCGTATGAGGACGCTCAAAGTCGCTCAGCGAGCTATGGAGAGGGCTATGCTCGGAGTTTCTCTGCGTGATAAACTTAGAAATGAGGATATCCGCAGTAGAACCAGAGTGACCGACATAGCCCAGCAGATTAGTAAGCTGAAGTGGCAATGGGCCGGCCATATAGCTCGAAGAACCGACAAACGTTGGGGAAAAAAGGTTCTCGAGTGGCAGCCTCGTACCGGTAGGCGAAGTGTGGGGCGACCCCCCACTAGATGGAGTGACGACCTGGTAAGACATGCAGGAAGTCGATTAATGCAACTGGCTCAGGACCGTGCTTTGTGGCATTACTTGGGGGAGGCCTATGTTCAGCAGTGGACTTGTGAAGGGCTGTAATGATGATGATGATGAGTCTGTTTACTTAGATAGTGTCGGTACACTCAGATGTGTTTATTATTTTACTTTTATTTTATTTTTTTTTTACTGTTTATAAAATAAATGTCATTCAATTTATGGTTATTCTAATAAAATATGAATATAAATAATAAACATAAGTTAGGTAGATAAATTAAATTAAAAATATGAATAGTTAAACATAAACGAAAGTAGAATAGACACTATTCTTCATCACTTAAAGTGTTAGAATCATTGCCAATGCATTGTATTTATTATAAGGCATTCAACGTCATCAGTCATCACATTCTGAATCTATACTAAAATAGTATTTTTGTTATTGGTTCATTAAAAATTTCATCTTGAGACACGTCACTGTCTTCCCAAGAATGAAAAAACATTTTCTGTATACCTAGTGGAGTCAACAAAACAACCTTTCACTACGGCGTTTCGTTTTAAAATCTCATATTTTCCTGTGGATGAACGCTGAACGCGACGAATTTTGATGTCGCGGTGGTGCCTTTGACAAAATACGGCACGTGGCGAGGCGGCGCGACACAAAGGCAATATCTAAGCGAACAGTTTCCTTGTGTATTATTGTTTATATACCTATTTTATTACAATATTTTAGACATTAAATAGTATGATCATGATCATCATCATCACGACAGCCCATCAAAAGTCCATACCTGCTGAACATAGGCCATAAAGCATGGTGTTATGCCACCTGCAGTCTTCAAAATATTTTATTCCTCTGACATTGTTATTTACAATTAACAATTTCATTGAAGCCGATGGGGATTTATTGGGGAACTTATTTTTTAAATTAAAAACGTTAAAATCCATATCCAGATTTATTCAAATATGTGTTTTATTATATTTGTTTTTTTTTTACAGTTACTACTACTACTCTTGCTTACATTTTGTGATCTCTAATTTTATTTTATTTTATACACTAAATATTGATACCGACAGATATTATGAAGCTGTGTCAAGAGTGAAAGATATATTTTACCATAATCTTCGATTCGCCTTCCAGTGGAGGTTAAAGAAATTCTTTATAAAATAGGAATTTTGGAAGGGTGCGCCGTGAAAATAACATAATAGTTTTATTCGTAAAACTTAGGGTTCTCGATCTTTTAATTAAAGTATAACGTCCTACTCTTCGAGTCTGTCAGGTAAACGAGATTTAATGAAAGAACTAGGATTTCCAGCTGAAGATACTCTGCAGAAGTTGCGGACATCCGACGTTATTTAGCTTTTCATATTTAAAGTCGCATGACTCGTCACCGAAAGAGGCTCTAGGCTTCTTTGTGATTTAAGCTATTAAAGAAGATATATGAAATTGGGTGCTTGACATAGTTCGTAACAGTAATTTCCTTGCAGGAACAATGGTTGTCCGTACGATGTGTGTCGAATGTGAAGTAGTGACGGAAAAATCTCAAGCTGTTTGCGAACTGTGCGTGCCTGTAGGAGATGATGAAGTGCCTAGTGATGAACCCTTCCGAGCTGCATGCCTCACTAGTGAATACTTGCGTGATCAGAATAAGGTACATACACATTGATATGTAAGCTTAGAATATTAAATAATTAAACTTTATAAATAGTGCTTTAAGGTACAAAATTGAATATAATTTTTTTATGTGGACCAAGGGACCATAGTTTAGACATTTGTTTTTTTTTAATCTTTGAAACTGTGACCTTTATTTAATAAATGCCTAACAAAAAATGTCTGTATTTGTATTAACTTCATTTTCAAGAAATCTTTCATAGGTTGGGCCAATAATCCGTAATACTGAGGGACCACACAAAATCTGTACTTTTTATAAATTCTTTTCCTTTTACATTTCTTTCGAGTCTATTACTAAATCTTTGGTAAATTATTTGGCTAATCCCCAGTATGGAACCTCAGTGGTCATCTTCATCATTATTGTCGTTATTTTAGTCCATCAAATGTATTGCCTCACACGGCCATATTTGCCACATTTAACAACAATGTGGCAAATCTATTGTTATAATGTTATCTGGAAGATGTTCTGACCATCTCCTGTTTTATCCCCCTTTATCGTCTCTTCTGACTATCACAGGATGATATGCTGTAGAGGATATAATGTATGTTATGGTGTAGTGAATACGACGAAAACTGGTGTATATCTTAAATGATTATTTTAAACATTATTGAATCTCACATATACAGTATATCACGGTACAAGATCAAAAGACATAAAACAAAAAATTATCTGCCTTTTCAATAGACTGCTTGCTATTTACCTTCTTAACCTTTTGAGCGCCAAAGTCGCATATACTTGACCAGTACCTGCGAGCTCTGAGCGCCAACGACGTCTATAGTTGACAAAAAACCCGGCCCTCAAAAATATGAAATATAGATATTGGAAAATTATTACTGATATTTTAATTCTACACTCCTCAAAAAAGAATAACCCAGCAACATGTGAGTATAAAAAACAAATCTCTTAGAGCCACAAGTACTAAGAAACATTGAACTAAAAAAATGGGTTTTTATCTAAGCAAATACTATGTCCAGCACGCCAAAGTCGTCTATGTTTGACCGCTAGTTTTGTATTGCGTTAAGCATAGATTTATTGAAAACTATTTAAAATTAAACGCAAACGTGTTATTTTTTAAATTATTATTGATATTTGAATAAAAGAAAAGCTAAGAAACGTAAAACTATCATCAGCTACAAAAATAAAAGAAAATTTATCAAATCGACTTCGCATAATAAATCTAATATCTCAACTCTGGCGCATCCTTACCGCGTCTTGTAAATGTAATACATTTAGTTTTATTGCCGTTTAAATGTAGATTATTAACGTTAAACCAATGCACTAATTTTGATATAGCATTATTCACTTCGTCACATTTAAATGATTGGAGTATAAGAGCGTAAGACTTTTCTTCTGTGCTTCATTTGGCCTACGCCTCCCCCGATACATAAAGTATTTTGAGTCGATCTCTGTATATTTTGGTTAGATCGATTTCGAAATCGACACACATAGTGCGACACGGCTACATCTCTAAGAAAGTTTCAAAAGGGAAGGTCAGCTACGCCGTTATCGTCCAGGCGTGACAGTGACGTCATCACGATGAACAGTAGTGTTGTGGTTTACTACTATTTTATTGTTATTGTTTGTTTTTTATTTATGTAAAAAGGACATACATATATAAAAAGGAGGAAGACAGCACAAGATTAAATAAAACATACCAGATTATAAAGAGTCATTTATTGCATAAAAAACCAACAATATCAAGTTATTTTGTGTTATCGATATATCAACTCTTGGCAACACTATTTTTTCGTAGGTATTATTGTTATATACACTACTTATCGCTTTGCCGTACAGCACACGGTAATGCGTTTTTGACGTGGCGCTCAAAAGGTTAAAAGATGAATCAACTGCCATAAAGAATGTAAAAGCTGGTGATTGTGAAAATAAAAACAATAAAAAAATTAAAACATAATTCCTGTATTGCTCGCATTAATCCCACTGTCTAATATGTTATGGTATTTATATGTAAGAACCATGCTGTAACTTTACTATAGTTGCAGTATGAAATGGTTGACTCGTCCTACGGGGTAGGACCATGCTTTTACATACTACCGTGAAATAGCAGGTTAATGCTGTTGTGAATTGTATGATGAGCATAGAGAACCGAAAAAGTCTGAAGATTAAGATTATCACTAAAGAGGAGTTTCGGTTAAATGCCTCATTGGTGTCGCATCTGCAATTTAATTCTTAATCGATAAAAGATGTAGATGTCTATGGCAGCATCCACTTACCATCTAGTAAACTTTGTACTTGCATGTCATATAATATATAAAAATAAATTTTTGTTTGTTCGTATTTTATGCGCTGCCTATCGTTCATCAGATTGCGGTAAAACTTTGCGAACGTATTGATTGCATTTCCGCGAAGGTTATAGGCATAGTTGGACCTGGTAGGTGGCGGTGATGTGGAATCCAGATATCACCTGTGCGAAGCCGAGATAGATCGCTAGTATTCTATAAAAAATTGTTACTATACAGGATGTTAGTGTAAACACCGTTGTCCTTGAAACCAGTGGTTTGGTTTCACTTATAATAATAATTTTAAAACGTTTTTACTATAGAACGTAAATTCAATGAAAAATAACATTTTTTTTTTTAGTAAAATATCAATTCTCCTTAATTCCTCAATTTTTGCCTGTCCTAAGCCAGGATGAAAGTATGAAGGTAAAGTTACATTATAGGTTATGTGTACCTATTGTGTTTTTATTGGAATCTAGCGCGGGCGGTGATCTTTACAGTGATTACGTCACGCGGGCGCATAGGGTATCCATGAATTTACGAACGGTGTCGGACAGAAACTTTTTAAATTTTATGTAAGAAAATAGCGGTTTTTTTTTTTAAATTCATTGAATTTACGTTCTATAAGTGAAACCAAACCACTGATTTCATGGATAACGGTGTTTACACTAACACCCTGTTTATCTTCAAGAAATGCACATATACCATATTCATCTTAAAGGTTTTAAAAATAAATGATTCCTCTTCCACAGTATTGGTGCGAGCGCTGTTTACGCTACAATGAAGCGCGTCGCAGTGTCGCTTACTCTCGGCTGCCTCGTTTACTCGTGCTGCAACTGAAGCGCTTCAGCGGCGGCATGGAGAAGATCACCCGGCACGCGCCCACGCCGCTGCTAATGCCGTGCTTCTGTGAACCCTGTGCCAAGCGGCCACCAGAACAACAGCCAACGCACAGGTACTGTTGCTAGACAGGCAATACCATTTGGTTTATCGCAAAGTAGAGTTTTTAAGAGTAGTTCTTTAAGAGTAACCTTTATATAATTTGCAATGGATATTGCTTTTTTTGGATAAGGGTGACAATCAAGCACACAGTCAACATTTACCCGCGATTAAGAATCAAAATGCAGATGCGTTGTCACCCTTGAGGACTAAGATTGGAATGCTTCGATTCCAGTAAAACAGGTCTCCGGTTCCTACACTCACCATACGAAACATATTATATAGCTGCTGTATTACGCTGGTATTCTGTGAGAGTGTGGTACCTTCCCCGGTCGAGCCGACCCATTCATGCTACAACCATAATAGCTGCAGCATGGCTACTAGGCTGCACTAAAAGTATCGGGAATGGAATATTTCCATTGTTCCTGTCATATTATAATCTTTTTAATTGAAAACTCCTTGGTTTTAAAAATCGAATACCATTTATTTATTTAAAAAAAGATTCTCGGTTTTGTCACAAGTTGTATTCAAACTTGTTTAGTTGTTGAGAAAATGGAATTGACTCAAGAAAATTCAAGAGAGATGATTTATTATGACTTGAAGTGGTTTAACACAAAAACAGTGTGTTGTCCGGATGATTTCTGCACTTGGTGATGAAGCCCCATCCAAAACCACAATTTATCGCTGGTTTACTGAATTTCAACGTGGATGTGTCAAGCTCAGTGATGATCCCCGTCAAGGTCGTCCAAAAACTGCAGTCACCCAAGAAAACGTTGATGCTGTGCGTAAGCTGATTGAGGAAGATCGACATGTGACATACCGCGAAATTCAGGCAACTTTAGACATTGGCATGAGTCAAATACAAATAATCTTGCATGAACAATTAGGTGTAAAAAAGTTGTTTTCCCGATACGCTCTGTGAAGAGCAAAAAGCGGTTCGCGTTACTTGGTGCGTCAGAACTCTCGAAAGATTCCACGCAGGATCCTCAAATGCTGTATACAACATCGTATCAGGTGACGAACCCTGGATTTACGCGTACGAACCCGAAACAAAAAACCAGTCACGAGTTTGGGTGTTCGAAAATGAGTTAAAGCTAACAAAAATTGTTCGTTCACGGAGTTTTGCAAAAGAAATTTGCTTTGTATCCAAAAACGGCCATGTTACGACTATTCCTCTTGAGGGACAAAGAACGGTTAATGCAGAATGGTATGCTAGCATTTGTTTGCCACAGGTCGTTTCTGAACTCCGTAAAGAGAACTGCAACCGCCGCTTCATCCTCCATCACGACAATGCGAGTTCTCACACCGCACACAGAACAAAAGAGTTTTTAGAGCAAGAAAACATAGAATTATTAGACCATCCGCTGTACAGCCCCGACCTAAGCCCTAATAATTTCTATATTTTCCCTAAAATAAAGAATAAATTGCGTGGACAGAGATTTTCATCACCTGAAGAAGCTGTGGACGCCTACAAAACGGCCATTTTGGAGACCTCAACTTCCGAATGGAATGGTTGCTTCAATGATTGCTTCCATCGTATGGAGAAATGTGTCAAATTTCTCGGAAAATACTTCAAAAAGTAATAAATACATTTTTAAATAGTAATGTTGTGTCACTTCCTTGATTCCCGAAATTTTCAGTGCCGCCCTCGTAACCATAATAGTTTGATAGTAAGAGTTTGGTCCTAGGCAAAAATTTATCGACCAAATTGGCGATTTATTGAAAACGGGCCAAATTAGGAGTACCCTTAACCGACGAGCATGTATGCGTAGGTATATGCATGTAAAGGAAGTGAGAGAGATGTGTCAGGATCGTGCCAAATGGAAGTCTGTAGTCTCTGCCTACCCCTCTGGGTGACAGATGTGAGTGTTTATGTAAGTTTAATTTTCTGGTTTAATAAATTTATTATCTTAAGAATTTTACATTCGCTTATGAGACTTACATATCTACAGCTTAATATAAATTTGGTTTGGGCTATTCGTACAAGGTATTAATGCAAATTACAACAAAAATTACCGAAGATCTACAAAACTAAATGTAGGTGGTTTTAAATATTTTGTTTAGCGACAGCAATGGCTCGTCAGACTTCGTTACACAGATAAGCCTTACTGGATGTGACTCGCATAAACTAAGTGTTATTATTAGTATGGTAGATTAGTTTTGATAGTCAAGAAAAATCTGATTAAGTTTCATGTATGAAAATTTATATCTTTAATGAGCTGTTGTAATATTTATATTATTTATTATTTGAAGTAACTTAAATAATTGATGTTTTTAGTGTATAAGCAGATGTTAACTTAGATATTATGTATTTATTTATACCAGTTTAATTTTAGTTTAGTTTTTATGTTTACCACTGGTAAACATAAAAACTAAACTACTTTCAATAAGAATTAGTTTTCATCAGTATTAATTAAAAAAATATTCTATTCTATTCTGTTACTGTTTTGGAATTAAATATTATATAAAACATAATTTTTACCATCATTTCACTTTTGAACATAGGCCTCCCCTAGGCCAAAAAGCTCGGTCCAAAGCTACCTGCATCCATCAGCTTCAACTTCATCATCTTTATTATCAAGTATACTGCAAACGCAAATATTACACTCAGTAGTATTTTTACAGTTTTAATGTGATTCAAGATATAAAGATGTTCTGGATATATTTTTAAACCTTAATTACAGAAAAATGATGTTTCAATATAGTATATGAATCAAGATTTCAGTTGAAAATTTTCAATAGAGATTGCAAAATCCGGATATTTTTGAAATCCGGATTTTTGAATTTTTCTGTGATTAAAATCCGGATAATCCGGATTTTTCGAAGTTTTAAGGTGATTTGATAAAACAGCATAAATCATTTAAAATCTGCATTTATTCAGACACGACGGAATAAAATCAACCAAAATAAACAAAAACCGTGTAGTGGTGGTATACCGTGTAGTGGCGGTTAAGAATATCCACTACCCCATATCTTCCCGTGGGTGTCTTAAAAGGCGACAGAGGGAACAGGCAGGAGATGGGCAGCAGCATCTTCCTGATAGCAGCAACTGTACAACAAAAAACTGCGGTTGCCAACCCGCTCGCCAAGTGTGGCAACTATGGCAATGTACCTACCATGAGAAACGACGCAAATAGACGGCCGTCAGTCCCCAGCGGCCCGCTATTCCAGGCTACGGCGGCGACCATGGTAACGGCGGAGCATGTGCTAGGGTGTTAAGAATCTCCGGTGGAGGTTCACTTGCCACCTAAAACGACTAGATCTGGCAAATTACAACACACGCACCCTGAGGACTGACGAGAAGATCCTGGAGCTGAAGAAGAGATAGCAAGTTGCGTTGGAATACTTTAGGATTATCCGAGGTCTGAAGAGAGGGGGAGGGACACGGTGATTCTCGAATGCGACAACTCGTTCTATCAACGGAAGGATGACCATCTGTCCCAAGGAGGTGTTGGATTTATCGTCCACAAGTCTCTGGTTAACAACTTTATAAAGATTGGGAGTGTGTCGACGAGGATTGCGTACCTTATACTCAGAATCACCAAACGGTATTCGCTGAAGGTCGTACAGGTTTACGCACCAACGTCGGCACATCCCGATGAGGAAGTGGAGGAAATGTATGAGGATATTTCTAGAGCCATGCATTTCTCCAAAACCCACTATACGGTATTAATGGGAGACTTTAACGCAAAGCTAGGCACAAGAAAAATCGGTGAGCTGAAGGTAGGTAAATTTGGGATAAGGCAACCCAAGGGGCCAGCAGCTGGCCGACTTCATGGAGAAAGAGGGACTCTTTATGATGAACTCTTTCTTTCAGAAGTGGTCCCACAGAAACTGGACCTGGAAGAGCCCCGACGGTTCGGCAAAAAATAAGATTGAATTCTTTATGACGACTCCACGGCAACTGTACAGTGATGTCTCAGTGATCGCAAGGTTGAAAACTGGCAGCGATCAGTGAATAGTTAGAGGCACACTGAACCTAAACGTTAAGTTGGAGAGGTCTCGTCTAATGAAGTCAATGCTCCGTTCCCCTCGTGCTCTAATAGAATCCCGAAACATTTCGCTGTTACACCGTTTCAGTGCCTGGAAGATTGTAATACAGTGGACAATATGAATGACAAGCTCGTGGAAATTGTCCATGCGGTTGGAGCTAAGTTCTGCATGACCCGCCGCAGAAGAACACAAAAACTCTCCGATCACACTCTTAATCTCATGGCTGTTAGACGATAGGTGAGGCTGCAATCATCAGCAGAATTGACAGCATACAGGCAACTGAACAGACGGATCTCCAAATACATGCGGCAGTACTTACGCAACTTCAATACAGCTCGTATTGAAGAAGCGATTGTGCGGAACCAGGGCTCCAAAGTCTTTGCTTGAGATCTGTCTATCAGAAAGAGCCAACTTTCAATGCTGAAGACTGAGTGTGGTGGCATCGTTTCCGGGACACCTGAGATTTTGAGTGAGATTGAGAGGTTATATGGGACACATCATCGTTGGAGCCACATGGAAGTGTGAGTAACGATCCAAGAGCAAGTCTTATGGATAAGACTTGCTTATCTCGCTTGCGAATCTCGCTTAGATTGACGTCCGGTATATCATCGGAACAGTGTCGGCACTGTTCCGATGATATACCGGACGTCAATCTAAGCGAGATTAGAATGGCTCTCCAGCACCTTAAAAACGGCAAGGTCCCAGGCGAGATTGCAATCATAGCGGAACATCTGAAAGCGACTGGAAAACCGGTACTTGAAGTCTTTGAGAAGCTTTTTAATTTCCTCCTCCATGGTGGCACTACGGAGTGTGAAGCAGAAGTGCGGTGGTGGTGTTCCTCAAGAAAGGTGACAACGCTCTCTTGAAGAACTACAGACCAATTTCCCTTCTAAGCCGCGTCTACGTGCCGTTTTCGAGTACCATTACGAATCGTCTCGCACGCAGACTCGACGACTTCCAGCCTCCCAAGCAAGCCGGTTTCCGAATAGGCTTCAGTACCATAGACCACATACATATCCTACGGAAGATTGTACAGAAGGCCAAAGAGTACAATCTGCCACTTTGCCTGGCGTATGTGGACTAGTCCGACTAGGTAAGTCCAACTTGGACCGAGAGGTCAATCGACGGATTCAACTCGGATGGGCAGCGTTCGGAAAATTACGACACATCTTCTCATCAAGTATATCTCAAACCTAAAAACGGGACTGTACAACCAGTGCGTGTTGCCAGTGGTGACTTATGGATCTGAAACGTGGTCCTTTACTGCTGGCCGTATGAGGACGCTCAAGGTCGCTCAGCAAGCTATAGAAGGGCTATATATATATATATTTAAAAAACGGATCTTATTCACATATAGTTAGTCACCCTTTTTTTAAAAAACGAGATCTTAGATCTTAGGAGTTCTCCACAACCTCCACAGTTTTCAAATGAAGCCATTTCAACGTGAATCAGTTGCGCTGATTACACTCGTTGACTGGTGTTGATGATCACTACCGACACTTGCAAGAGAAAATTGACGATTGAGCTTTTCTTCAAAACTGAGCGGCGATGGATCAGAAGTTCTGAAATAGAGTTCGTATTAATCGACGTGGTCGTGCAATTGTCAACATCCAGGGTTGCAGCTTGATAGATCAAATTTTTAATTTCATCATACGTAGGTTTTTAAACTAATCTTCGTCCTACTTAGTCTCATTTAAAAATTGATTAGGGTTGGGTAAGTATTGTAAGGCACCGACAATGTTATAGAGTCTGGCACACACCGTGTCTTGACTGTCTAATGATTTTATAAAAAAATTATGAGCTGTATATCTAATTATCCAATTCAAATATTAGATTACGTAACATCTAACTACTCATTAGTTAGTATGAAAATTTGTGGATAAATGCAAAATATTATCCATTGAACTCAATTTTCACTAAAATCCGAAAAATCCGGATTTGAGTCTTAAAAACCGGATTTATAAAGCTCTGGAAAATCCGGATTTTTCAGTTATTTTCGAATTTCGAAGAATCCGGATTGCATTCACTAATTGTCAATATGAGATTTTTAGCCCTGTATTTTTTTAGTAACTAAATAATTACTTTTAATTGATATATAAATTCCAGGTACATTCTTTGGGCAGTGATAATGCATCTTGGACAGACATTAACCGGAGGTCATTACGTTGCTTACGCACGTGATAGTTCGAACGGCGACTTTAAATGCGAAAGAGAAGGAAACGGGGACGCAACCACCACCAATAGCAGTTCCAGTTTTATGAGGACACTCTTCAACAGGCCAAGACCACCACCGAACGGCTGCGCGGCTAAAGACTGCTGTGTGCCCAGACCACGACCAGAAGCATGCTGGTTAGCCTGTGACGATGACATAGTGAAACCTATTTCCAACGAGGAATTCGAAGATTTACTATCTGCAGAACCCAAAATGCGTTCAGCAGCCACTCCATACTTGCTTTTCTATGTCAAAAGTGAAGTCGGCTAGTGACGAACAACAGACAACTCGCCAGATAACTGTTCATGGGTGGCCCGTCTCAAGTGCTCGAAAAGAATAGTCGTTTAACAGTGTATATTAAATGGTATAATATTTTTGGTATATTACCAATCGGTTTCACATTGAAATTGGAAGTGTAGTTTATGCCTCAGTTTTACTAACATATGATCAAGAATATCTTCTTGTGATTTGACATTATTTAGATGCTTAAAAAGACATTTATTTTAAACTATATTTGTGACATTTAGAGACATATTTTGTCAAGCTGCCGTGATAATTAAATTGCAAATATATATTGTAGTGTCAGGCTGCTATTACAATATGACCATAAGTAAATGATCATAGATCTAGGATTCATAGAAATATGATAAGCTATAACAGTTTAGTTAATACTTAGGTCATAAGTTCTGTCAAAAACTTTTTATAAAATTAATGATACACTTTTTGATAGTTATATAGAAATTATATATGAAATGAAAGGTAAAAAGGTAATTTAGTATATAATTTTATTTACATTATTCAAAATGCCCTCCCCTATATTGAATACATGCTAATCCGGCTCATCAATCGCAGCACACACCACACTCATATCTATTTCTGCCGCTGCTTTAGCCAGAGATGCTCGGAGAAAGGTTAAGCACAGAAATCTTATAATCCAGTGGCCTTAAATCTGGACTAGGAGAGGGCCAGTCTTCATATCCGATAAAGTCAATTCCATGGGCGGTCGATCAGTTTTGCGTGCTTCGTGCCCTATGAGCTGATGCAGAGTCCTGTTAGAATATCCAATGTCTGTTTTTAAACATTGAGAAAGAGGTTCCAATATGTTTGTTAGGACGGTATTTTGGTACACTTGGCACTGGTTTTTACACCTTTTTCACAGAAAAACACCTCAGTTAAGCCTGAATATGAGACTCCAAGCCAAAACATGAGTGACGAAGGATAATGCCCTCGTTGAACTCTCGGAATACGCGTGCTGGCTTCTTTACTGCTGTGGGCACACCTTACCATTTTGTTTATTATAATTTTCTTTCATTTCGCGGTATTTTGTTTTAGCGCGGTATAAAGCGCGGTATCTATCCAGCCTATTTTTTTTAAACGCTCGTTCGAAAAATGTCTGGTCTTCTTACTATAAGCTCGTAGTCCTAGGTTTTCATTGATCACTCTTTTGACCGTGGTTCTGCTTAGGCCCATCCGAGAAGCTAAGATGTTTACGAACAGGATTTCGTTTTCGCGCCTTCACTGCTTTGATTCGGTGTTATTACGGCGACCGGTCCTCTTAAGATCCTTGAAGCTTGAATCTTCAGTGAATAGTTTGATAGTGCGATAAACAAATCGTAGGGTTATTTTCCAATTTTTATAGAATATTGAAAATCTTTTGACGCGTAACCACAGCGGTGCAACGCGATAACCGCTACTCTATCTTCTTTCTTCGACCACTCCATATTTGAAAACGAATGAAAATTAATGTCTTTTTATTTTCGGCAAGCGTTAAACGTTATTATTAAGTTCATCTAGCCAGTATTAATTGTTTTTAAATAATAAGGTTTTGACGGAACTTATGACCCGACTAAGTACTTTTGACCTACCATATTGTTGTTAATTTCAAATATATATGAAGATTCAATGATAATACAGTAAAATATGATTTATGAGTAAATTTGACTGATAGTTTGCACAGTTGAATATGATGACAAGAAATTGAAATCATATTTTTATAAAGGCAATATGATAATGTTACAGTGGCCTAAGGGGCCGTCCATTAATCACGTGATGCTTTTTTTAGCAATTTTTAACACCACCCCTCCCTCTTAGTGATACGTGGTGAGGTTTAAGACTAACCCCACGCACGCACCCAAAATCACGTGTATTTTTAGTAGGTACCTATAGAGTATAATCTAGTTTTATCCTGAAATTAAGGACCATGATAAAAATGGTTAGACAGAAAGGTTGCAGGTTGTTTTTGACTAGCATAAAAATAATAAAGGAATGTTGTAATAATCCGAAAAACTTATTGTACTAGTACATGAACATTTTAAATGTACATTGTCCTTGGAGCACGGATTAGCAAGACTCTTCAACACTAACAACTGGGTAAACATCTTGCAAGTACAGTTGTTGGCACTGTGCTTTGTTGAAGATCAGCGTCGGTTTCAAGCCACTCGGCGTTATGCTATGGTTAGGACTATTATTTCTCGGATTAGGTTCTTGCTTGTGACATGTACAGGCGAGTCAAGGTCGCATTACACGCCGCTTTTCGGTTTAGAAATCGCGCGTTTGACGAAAAAATAAATACACGTGATAATCTTACTACACCCCCTCCCTCCCTTGTGATATTTCGTGATTTTTGTCAAACCCCTTTCGAGCCTCACGTGATTAATAGACGGCCCCTAACCTAAAACGTCAAAAAGTATATTATTGTGTAGTGTATGTATTCTAAGCATAATGCTATGGTTAAATATTACAGTCAGACAATATGAACATAAAGAAGACAAATATTTTTAAAATTTGACAGTACATGTTCCTGTGAATATAAATTATATCACCGATAATATTTATTCATGAAATAGGACGAACATTGTGAGAAAAAGATACAAATTTCAATCAATATTACAATAAATGCATGTGTGTTATATTTGGATTATACCTATTTTATATTTGGATATTATTTCAAAATCCTCACCCAATTCTTTTAAGTTAAACATAATATTTAATAATTAAAAATAGCATATGATCTTGTTATGTCCCATCCATCTTCAAAGTATATGTAAATGTGTAATAGATAAATATCTAGTGCACTAAAAGTTTTGGCCTAAAATGTATTCTCTGAATAAAATATGTAATCTCATTACGAGATTGTACCTTAGTGCAGTTAATGTATTGATACTATAGATAAGGGCGAGTGTCATAAAGCCCTAAATGTGTTCAGTCTTAATATTAGCAGATTCATTATGTGCTCTTATTTTCCCATAACAGTTTCTTGGCTTTACTTCTCTCCAAGAAAGTAATCTAAAGAATTATAGTTCAAAGTTAGAACAATATATTGAAAGTCTACAAAGAAAATATATAGCAAATATACAACATTACCACGAACAAATGAAAATACATGCCGTAAAAAGTAAGAAGAATATATATGTTTTAATGTATAATTGAATGTTAATTGTGAAAAATCATTATTAATGTCAGAAAATGTTGAGAGATACTCTTGCCTAATATGATACAACTAGCATAAGAATATGAAAATGTCATATTCTTGGTAGCACTACCTTACCAAGTTATATTTTTGATTAATCACATGTTAATCCATCAGTTAAAAAAATGATGATATATAGTTGATAAAACCATTACTTAAGCATAGAGGGTTTATTTCCCATAGTTTTATGAGAGCGCACATGTAATAATTTCTTTTGTGTTTGTAGATAGCAACATTTTTATGTATTTCAAGTCAACAATGATACTCGTAATTGCTTGCTATGACAACATATTGTGACTGCTTCCTTTATACGATTTTAATACTGTATTTCATACGAATTTGCTATGGTTTAAGAACTTGCCTTCCTATATAAGTGACTATTTTTATACTTGCCGCATCAAGTGTCTTAATAGTTTACAGTTGCAGAGACCAGTGTTGTTTTGTCTATTTTTTATTTAAAAAAGCCGAATCTATTTTAATATGAACAAAACATATTTTCGCTTAACAAATATAAATGTTAATTTTATAATTTTTAAACAATTGTTGGATGCACTTGCAATTTCATTTAAGTATAATTGTGTGAACACTCATAACAATTTATATAATATATAAAGCATAGAGAAGCAGGTGAAAGTAATTTTTTAGGCAATGACTCAGTAATTTGTATAATTACGACAATATTAGTTTGACGATAGTGATATAGATATAATACAATACGGAATGGCAAAGGCTGTATGAGGAAGGCAATATTTTTCTTGCATTTTATTTTAACTTCGTATTTTCCGTTTCGTTAAACACTGTCGTTAGTCTAATATAAACAGAACAGTCACTTTAAAGTCGCAAATTAAAACAGCGTGTTTATTTTAATATTCGCCTTTTATTAGCTTGATCTGTGTGTGTATGTATGTATATTATTTAACTCAGTTTTTATCTAATTTCGGACGTCTTAATAATCTGGAATTTTACAGACATACTAAGAACCTATGACAATAATAATTTCATGACTAAGACCTAGTTTTTTCAGTAGAAGCTGAAGACAGCTGTTCTTTTAGGTGTTTAAATTCTAATTTTATTAGTTTTATTAATCACAGAGTGCTTTCCTTGTATTGATATGCTGTAAATTTGTTGCGGATGCCATTCCAAAACCTTTAAAAAAGGTAAAATATCTTGTCAGTAGTTGTACGAGTTTATTTTATTATATCGGACAAAATGTTATGATTATTTTAAATGTACATTTATTTGGATTTGGAAATTAAAAATAATTTCAAAAATCACAATCGCTTTTCATTTAATCATTGCGGCTTATTACTATTCTAGCTAACTCTATAAAGTCATTTGCGGGATTTTTTACTGTAATGGTGTGTGTGGTACATGTGTGGTGAAGTTCCTAAAGGAACTCATAAACGTGTATATTTATTTTATATATTATTTTGGTTTTTATTTATTTTTTTCTTTCAATTTCTACTCTACATCAAATTCTCACTACTCCATGGGTTGTCTGGTAGAAAATAACTTTAGGTATGGTAGGGTCAGGCAGGGTAATTGTAAAGTATAGAAAAAAACTTTACGAGCTGTTCTAATTCCCATAAATTCATAGCAAATATATTTGTGACTATGAAAATGTACCTTAAAGTAGTTGAATATATTGCAAATGATATACAATGATAACCGTGCAATGCCGTAGCCGACTGCAGACAGCAGCAGCAGGCGACGTGTCGCTGCGACATGTCTTGGCGTCAAGTCGCTGCAGTCATGATTCCGAACCCGACTTAAGACGGCAGCACCAGCAGCCCATTTCCAGTCTGTTCCGAGTGTTTAGTGGAACATGATGTCTGACGTGTTTGAAATTAGCAATCGCAATTTAATTATTGTATCTTTTGTTAGAAGAGGAAGAAGATGATAATGACTTGCTTTTATTATACAAGTATAAAAAGAAAAGACACACATCTTATGTTGAAATGCAGAGAAAGTGAGGGAACGTACAGTGCGGGATATAGGACCACCTGGTTTATCAGTTTCTGTTCCTCAGAATCGGTGAAACTTATTTTTAAAGAAAAATTCAAAGTGTCGCTCGGGCGTTGGCGGCACTACTGATCTTCGGTAGGCAGTGTTGCCAACTGTACCACCTACCAACTTTACCCAGTAGCTAGACATTTTCAAAATGTTGCTAGATTTCCAGTTTTTTTACCCTAAAAATTTGCTAGAAGTTGCTAAATGTTACAGTATATAAGTAGGTTACAATAAAATGCCAGTTTCTGATAATCATTTTTATTCATTAATTCCAACGAGAAGTTAAATTAAGTCCTGTATACGCAATTTAATAAAAAATAAATTAATGAATTAAAGAGGAAGATGTCGATGGCTGGGGTTCAGTATCTTTCATTGATTTCGAATATTTTTCAACAGTACCCATTTTATGCAGTACATCTTTAGGCAAAACACAGTTATAGCAGCATTTACCACTTTTCCTGAGGGAGTCTCTAATGCAGAGGATTGAGCTCAGAGTTTTCAAACTCATTCTGTTTCTTTGCTTAATAACTAAATTCATTTGAGAGAATAACCTTTCTACCTCTGCATTAGAATGTGGCAGTGAAAGGCAAGTTAAAGCAAGAGTACATATATCTTGATATGTGTTGACTTCACCGGAAGAATTTCTAAATTTTTTTACTTCGACCCAAAACTGAACTATTTCTTCAGAATGCCACTTATTTATATGTAGAATGTGCCACTGTTGCATTATCTTGTCTTATTATTTCTGGTGTATATCCCAAAATTTCAGCAACGTCGATGATAGTGTTTGAGTTGATTGCTTTTATTGCCTCCTCTAGACTTAGCAACACCATTGATTCCAGCTCCTTGTAGTTGACTGGAAGCCTTTGATGCAATTCCTTAAGTAATTGCAGTAAGGAGGCAGAGCAGCGTTGTCCTATTAATTAAAAGAAGAAAAAAGAAAAGTATTAATGCCTGTCATAACAGATGCATTATCAGTTCCAATTCCAATCATTTGTTTGATATCTAAGTTGTGACTCTCTAAGCATGATACCAAGCCATTAACAATTCCCCTAGCATCTGCACTCTCAATAGAAACTAGTTCCAGGAATGAGCTTACTGTCCTTTCCCGTGCGGCACTATAATACCTAATTACAAGACTGACGATGACGTGTTTACTGACGCTGACGTCTGTGGACTCATCCATTATAATGCTGAACTTTTGATTTCCAATATCATCTAAGAGCTATTGCGAGAGTGCGGCATAAGCACATTTTTCATTATTTCTGTACATTTAGTGCGATGCAATTTAAGCTCTGATGTAGCTTTGGAGTCTTTGAAACACATTTTGCATAGTTCACCTAAATGGTCAACACTTAATATAGAACAGTGCTCGGCAATAAATAAGGTCAATGCGCCATCAGATTCATCGCAAGGTCTAAATAAATGGTCTTTTGGTACAACTTTGAAAGGAATTTCTTTATTGCCTGTAAAGACAAAATTAATATACATAAGGACCCTAGACGCAAAATATAATTTGACCGTAAAAAAATTGGTAAAATGAAAATATCAAACTCATTTTTCCCATCGATAGAGTCTGATATCAACAAAACGACGTTTAAATTCACGAACTATACTTGCTGTTTATGCTTTTTGGTCTCAGCATGCTTCTTTATATCAAACAGTTTAGCAAGAATCTCCGTAGAACAATATGTACAAAATGCTTTGCTTGAGTCTCCACTTGCCGATTTTAGCCAACCTTTAAATTTGTCCATATTTTCCCACTCGGGTCTGTATTTCTGTGCGTAGGTTTTTTTTTTCAAAGGTAAATCTATTTTCAAATTAAATTAAATTCGTTTTATATGGATAAAACAAAACAACACAAGGTAGAATACGAATAGCGCGTACTATTTTAGTTTACTAAGGGTATGTTCCGAAATACAACACATAATTGACGTCGTATTCCACCTATCCACCATATTCGATACAACGAATCACCAATATGGCGTCGATTTATGACGTCATTCGCATTCGACAGTGTACTGTGTTGTATTTCGGAACATACCCTAAGTATTCTGTCGCAGAGGAAACGGGGAATTACCGGCCAGCGTCGTCCTGTACTTACCGTAGCATCTATGACCATGATTTTTTTTCTTTCGACTCTGCACACTACTCGACGAATTTCGATAGACTCACGTCTCATGATGAAATGAAAAGTTGCTAGAAAAAGTAGCTAAAAAGTTTAGCTACAAGTTTTATTAAATTGTAGCTGTCTGTCACCAAATAATAGCCAGATCTAGCTAAAGTTGATGAAAAAAGTTGCTAAGTTGGCATCACTGTCGGTACTCCGTGGGGTCGGGCTACAGTGTCATCTGCCACTAAGCAAACGACGTGTCGCTAGCTACGGAACGTATTTCATAGAACTATACATAGATACAAGTTGTGTCGCGACGAAGCGTCGCTTGCTGCTGCTGTATGCAGTCGGCTACGAAATTGTACCTTAATAGTTACAGATTGTATATACATTTTTAAATTGACTGATTACAATTATTGTCCCATTGATTTTTTCAATCTTTTGTTAAAAAGCGGTAAATGTAAACCATGAAAATTATGTTCTTTGCATAAGTATGCCCATTTTTATTTATGGTGTGCTTATTTATCACTATTATTATATGTTGCTATCAGATGGAAGTATTATTCACAATAGGGCTAGGAGGTTACAATAAAAGTAAAGCAAAACTTGCCATAGTTACAATATGAAAATAGTACTAGGGTAGTTGGTTGGTTAACAGTTATGATATTTTAGAGTAATTGTAAACAAATTAATAAATTTGATGACGAGAAATGGTACACAAAAATATTATATTTAATAACTATATTATATTTTAAATTATAAATCTTTTTTGAATTAATCTCTAATTTTTGAATTAATTTTAGTTCATATACTTTTTGTTCTTTTAAGTTTGTCCTATTATTATTTTCCTAGCATCTTCGAACACGTTTAGATTTATTTGCTTCTTTTTTTTTACAACCGAAGTTCTTCTTAGCTGATCAAAACTTCTCCAAAATCGCTAAGTTTTAAACTCGACACTATAGCTTTTGAAGTGAAAACTTCTTTAGCATCGTTGTGATTTGAAAGTCTATGAAACGAAAAAGCGAAAGTAAAAAGAGGCAGACACATAAATTCATAAGATTTAATGTGGGAGAAAATAAGATAGAGGATGCATTATACCTCAATGCTCGCGAGAAAAAGTCGTAAACGGCGTCGCTTACGCGTTTTGTTCAACAAGGTACGAAGGTGTCGTGTGCCTATGGCAACAAGCAGTGAAGAACGGCCAAACCTCAATTTCGTAATAGGTAAAATTGATATAAATCTTTTTGTAATTAGTGAGTACTATATAAGGTATATCGAAAAGAGTTTTAATAGTGGTAGAGCCACGCGGCAGCTTTGCAGTTGCACGTATGGGCCGGCCGTAAACCGAGGTGGTACCACGACCTCACAGAATACCGGCGTGAAGTGGAAGCTCTCCGCGTTCCGTCTGGTGAGTGCAGGTGGCCGGTGGCCCAAATCCCCCCCCCCATCAACATGGTAGCGGAATTAAATGAACATAGACTACCCCAGGAGGGTACCAGCACCCCTGGAGAATCCCTTGCTGAGCATCCACGACCACGTTTCTCCACTTCTGAGCGTGGGTGCTCAGGCTGCCCCGCGTATTCTTGGGGCAAAATTCCGCTCAAGACTACAACTGCTCGGGGCAAACGGAGCAACAAGACCAAGGCGACGCCTGCCACGCTATCCGTGAATTTCTGCAATATCAGGGGACTTCACTCTAACCTAAACGCCGTCCACTACCATCTCGAGACGGCGAGGCCGGCTATGCTCTTTCTGACCGACACGCAGGTGTCCTCTCCGGTTGATGTCTAGTATCTCTCCTACCCGGGGTACAAACAAGGCAAAGTAAGAGCACATAGGCAGAATTGGCGAGAAACTAGTTCACCTTCCTTCTGGAACCCGTGCATTCTGGTCTCTTGCCAAGGCTGTCCAGGGGAATTTCTGTCAGCCATCTCTTCCATCTCTGCACAGGGAGGAAGACTCACTGGCCCATACCCCGCAAAGGAGAAATCCGATCTGCTAGGCTCTTTCTTTGTGTCCAACTCGACCCTCGATGACGGAGGGAGTACGCCGCCGACCATCCCGCGGTGTGAGTGCTCCATGCCGGAAGTGCAGTTCACACAGAGCTCGGTTCGCAAAGCACTCCTCTCCCTGGACATCCACAAGTCGAGTGGGCCTGACGGAATCCCCCCAATTGTGCTAAGGACGTGTGCTCCAGAGTTGGCACCGGTTTTAACGCATCTTTTCCGGTACTCCTACTCCCTAGGCGTAGTCCTAAAATCATGGAAGATGGCTTTCGTCCACCCGATCCCTAAAAAAGGCGACCGCTCAGACCCGTCCAACTACCGGCCTATCGCCATCACCTCCTTATTCTCCGAAACAATGGAGTCCATTGTTAACTGCCAGCTCATGAGGTACCTTGAGGATCACCAGCAGATTAGTGATTGCCAATACGGTTTTCGCCACGGTCGGTCAGCTGGTGATCTTCTGGTCTACCTAACTCAGAGATGGGCGGAGGCAGTAGAGTCCAAGTGGTAGGCATTGGACATTAGTTTGGACATTGCGAAGGACTTCGAAAGGGTTTGGCACAAAGCGCTTCTTTCAAAGCTCCCTTCCTATGGGCTTCCCGAGAAATTGTGCGATTGGATCACCAGCTTTCTTACAGATCGGAGCATCAAGGTCGTTGTAGACGGTGCAAGCTCCGATTGCAAGCCTATTAATGCTGGTGTTTCACAAGGCTGCGTGCTATCGCCAACGCTGTTTCTTCTGCATATCAATGATATGTTGCAAACCCGTAACATTCATTGCTATGCTGATGACAGCACTGGTGATGCTCTTTACACCGGCCGAGCCAATATTTCTCGGGAAAATGTCTCCGAGTACCGGGACAAACTTGTGTCTGAAGTAGAGTCTTTGCTGAACAGAGTTTCGGATTGGGGGCGACTAAATTTAGTCCAGTTTAACCCCCAGAAGACACAAGTTTGCGCGTTAACCGCTAAAAAGAACCCCTTTGTCGTATCTCCTCCGTTTCAAGGCGCTCCCCTTGTTGCCTCAGCCAGTATCGGAATCCTCGGCGTCGACATATCGAGTGACATGCAGTTTCGTGGTCACTTGGAAGAGAAGGCCAAAGTGGCCTCTAAAAAGCTTTGCGTGCTCAGCAGAGCGGAACAGTATTTCATGCCGGCACACCGCCTGCAACTTTACAAGGCGCAGGTTCGGCCGCACTTGGAATACTGTTCCCATCTCTGTGCTAGGGCTCCCCAGTACCAGCTCCTTCCACTTGACCGCATCCGGCGCAGAGCGGCTCGAATCGTCGACGACCGAGTGCTTTCCGATCGGCTCGATTCACTGGCGCTGCGAAGAGATGTTGCATCTCTTTGCATTTTCTTTCGCATATACCATGGGGAGTGCTCTGAGGAATTGTTCGGATTAATCCCAGCCGCCGAATTTTGTGAACGCACTACGCGGCAAACGTCCCGATACCATCCACACCATCTGGATGCTTTGCGGTCCACCACTGTACGTTTCAAAAGGAGTTTTCTTCCGCGTACAACGTCTCTGTGGAATAGTTTACCATCAGCGATTTTTCCGGACCGATACGACCTGGGGACCTTCAAGAAAAGAGCTTACTCCTTTCTAAAGGGCCGGCAACGCATCTGCGATTCCCCTGGTGTTGCGGTTGATCATGTGATACGTAAAAACCATAGATTATTGTGTATATTATACTACGTAGACTGAGAAACCTATAGATGTTGGATAGATTTATGCATACGTCTTGCATAGAAATGAGACAGAGCGGTGTGATTCTTTGTCCCTTTCTCCGTGCCGGTTTTTTGTTGTTTAGCAAAGTGTAGTTTGCTAAACAACTTTGACAGTTCGTAGCGATCTAAGGAGTTTACAAGTTGGTTTAAGTGAAAAAATAGTGTTTTGTGAGCTTAAGATTGGTGAATCTTGTTCAGTTCAGTTCTTAGAACAATTAAAATTTTTATTTAAATATGTTTAAAAGTCATAAAGATTATTGTATAACCTAAAACTACGTTATCGTCCTTTCTCACTCGAGGCCACGCTAATCATTAGTCTATAGGTTTCTCTGTCTACGTTATACTAGGTAACAACAAACAACTTTTAAAGCACAAGTACTACTCATGATCCTTATCATTCGTATAAAACAAACGGTAATGCATACTTTCTTTGTTTTTCACTCTAAAAAGTCAAATAATATCTTCCTACGGAACTGTTTTTGTACGAAAAAATATTACAAAATACAGTCCCACGATATCAAGTTTTTCATATTAAGGTAATAACCATAAATAAATAGATATATATGGTGATATCATCATCCACTGCTGAACATAGGGCTGCCCCAAGAAGTGCCACAAAGCACGGTCCTGAGCCACCTGCATCCATTGACTTCCTGAATGTCTTACCAGTCGTCACTCCATCTAGTAGGGAGTCGCCCCACACTACGCCAACCGGTACGAAGTTGCCACTCGAGAACCTTTTTTTCCTAACGGTTGTCGGTTCTTCGAGCCATATGGCCGGCCCATTGCCACTTCAGCTTACTAATCCGTTGGGCTATGTCAGTCACTCTGGTTATACTGCGGATATGCTCATTTCTAAGTTTATCACGCAGAGAAACCCCAAGCATAGCCCTTCCCATAGCTCACTGAGCGACCTTGAGCGTCCTCATACGGTCAGCAGTGAAGGACCACGTCTTAGATCCTAAGCCATCACCATTCGTCATTCATCATTCAGTCATTGCCAGTGATGACATGTAGGGTGATAACTGTCATCAAAACGGTGGACTTGTTTTCAGATATATAAAAAGTACGTTTAGTTCTATGCATATTTCAAAACGTGGTACTAATTAAAGGATTTTTTTAACTTTGTTTTCAATCACCCAGGGTTAGAATTACCCTTCCTGACCCTCTTTATATCCTTTTTTTTCCGAAGGGAATGCAATAAAGATTTTAAAATAAAATGAATAAAAATTGGTAATTGTAAAAATATTTAATAAAATTTGGATTAGGGTCCGATGATGTTTCGACAACTACAAAGAATTATACAAAATTTAAACCTACAATATTAATGTAAAAAAATTTTAAACAACGTTTACAAAATTTATAAAGTCGTCTCTTATTAAGATATCGAGTATTTTACACCATGTAAAAAATGTCAAAAAAAAAATTAATAGGTTTTGTAAAAACGATAAATATTGATTTCCATTCATAAAATGCATTATAAATTTTAGAATTCAATTTTAAGAATATTTTTTGTCTGTCCCTGAGGCATCTCCAAAACCGTAGACAGAGAATGCTATAGACAAATTGATATCTTTTGTCGCAGTCACACAAGAGAAAGAGCAACTTACGCCGATGTCGTGTAAAGAAATGAAATGGAACGATGAGATTTTTTGTTTCGCTGACAGTACGTTTGCACCATGGAGATTAAAGAACAGGAGAACGATCGCTACGTACTAAAGCATAGCGCGCCTGTCCTTGAAAATTTTAGAGTTTATAGCGACGCTGATGTCGGTGAGTAGTGACTGCGAAGTTAGCTGTTTATGAGTACAAGCAGATGAAGTTAATTGAATAATGTACAAATTTTCTTCGCGGCATTGGTGAGAAAATTTTCATGCTCCGTAGTTTTTTAATTTTTGATAAAGAGAAACATTAAAAAATAGAGATAAATTTTATTGTGCGTGGATGTGCAAGTGGTTTATCATCTGATCGGAAAAATAAACTGAAAATGACTTTTATGGAGCGAACTTAGCGATCGCAGCGCCACGTTTATGGTGTCCATATTTTTGGGACACTATTTTCTACAGCGATCGCTCTCCTCTTCTCTAACCTCTATGGTTTGTACTTACAAACATCCAACACGTAATGTTTTGAAACAAATCGCATAACAGTAGGTTTGCACTGAGAAACATCCAACACGTAATGTATTGAAACAAATCGCATAAAATAAATCACACAACATGTTTTGTTCATGGTGGCGTTCGCACTCGCAAAAACTGTGTAAAATTTTCAACAGATATCAACATTTGTTTTTAGCTGTGTTCGCATTGAATACAACATAGACATTCTATTTAATAAATAATTTATTACTTTGCAACCTTCCGCTAACCAATTACAATGATGTGTCTTACCTGGATTGAAGAGCACCTTCAGCCCTCCCTCAATTGCATGCACTAACTCCGTCACCACTAGTCCCAGCACCACTACTTCCAACACAACTATTCCAGGTAAGACACACCATCGACGACAATACGACACGTGTTTCGCCTCTACACGAGGCATCCTCAGGTAATGTAGACTCTACGGCGACTGACCGCTAAGTGAGCGGCGAGCTGAAACAGCTGCTATTTATATTACACGACGACACAACCACTCCCCACCAAAGTAGCGAGTGACCGCGCAATAATATAAAAAACAATAATAATAATAATATTTTTTAATTATTATTTTGGGGTATCTATATAGTTTTCTCATCTGGTTGGGTTCTATAAATATATAATTATAAATGAAAATGAAAAGATAAATATACATAAATATCAATAACATAAAATAAATATAAAAGTACATAAATAAATAAAAGCCCAACCAGATGGAGGCTCTCGGCAGGGGAAACCAAACGGCTGAGGGTTAGGGGGAAAGGGAAAGAAACCGGCGGACGATGCGGGCGGTATCGAGGAGCACCGCCTTCTGCATTTGAACCTGGAGCGGTCCGCCACGTAGTCCCAGCCACCTCAGATGACCCGAGAGGCTGACTGGGATTAGCCCGTTTGCAGAGACGACTACAGGAATAATTTCGGTCGGCAGACCACCTCACATGTCGGTCACCTCGTGAGCCAGGTCCAGATATTTTGTTTGCTTGTCTGTTTCGGCTTTCACGAGGTTCTCGTCATACGGAATGGTAATGTCGACCAAAAATATCCTTGACTGTGCCCGGTCCATCAGCACAATATCAGGCTTATTCGCAAGAATAGTCCTGTCTGTGATGATGGCCCGGTCCCAATAGAGCCCGGCGCGATCATTTTCGAGCACGGCTTCCGGCAAGTACTTGTAATACGGCAATTTCCGATCCACGAGACCGTATTTCAGAGCGAGCTCCTGGTGTAGAATTCTAGCTACTAGGTTGTGCCTGTGCAAGTACTCAGAGTTAGAAAGCGCCGAACAACCGGAGATAACATGCCTAAGTGACTCACCGGGATGGCGACAAGCTTGACAGATGTCGACAGTGTCATCCTTTAGGATGTATCTCCGATAGTTGTTGGTCTTAATAACCTGATCCTGTATTGCACAGACAAAACCCTCGGTTTCCCCGAAGAGATCACCAAAGCGTAGCCAGTGGAGGGAGGCTACTATATCTACGAAAGGCTCATGTAGAGCCTTGTAGATCCTCCCGTGGAGCTCCTTCTCCTTCCATACGGTCTCCCGGTCGGAAATGCTCTGCACTGCCGGGTCTTGCCATTGCTCGTTGGCTAAGGATAGAGGGGTAAGTCCTTTATCACAAGAAATGACGTCCTTATAGAATGGATCATCCGATCTCGCCAGGAAGTAATCACGGAGGCTGCACACTTCGCGATTATGCATGGTGAGCGCGCTCAAGAATCCACGACCACCATGCTTCCGCGGCAAGTACAGCCTCATTACCGACGATCTCGGATGATGCATCCTATGGGACGTCATGGTAGTGCGGACTTTTCTATCCAGGGCGTTAAGTTCAGTCTGAGTCCACCTGAGTATGCCAAAGGTATACATGAGGACAGGCATGACCTAGCCGTTATATGCGTGTGCCTTATTCACACCGGACAAAAGGCTGTTAAGCACTTTGGTCAAGCGTGCATAAAACACGTCGCAAACTGACTGTTTCATACCAGTCTCATCGATACCGATGTTTTGTGACATACCCAGGTATCGGTATGTTTCGGCCTCGGAAAGGGTCCTTAAGTTGACGGGCATAGATAAGTCTACGCCCTCAGAGTTAGCAACCCTTCCCCTTTCAACATGGAGGACCGCACACTTATCCGTCCCAAGCTCCATTAAAATGGAATTGCTAAATTCGCAAGTGATGTTTAGCAATTCCATAAGATGGGAGCGACTGGAGGCGAATAACTTGAGGTCATCCATATAGAAAAGGTGGGTCACTTTTGTCCCTCCTTTCCGTAGCTGAAATCCCCTCCCGGAGCCCTCCAGTAAGGTACTGAGAGGGTTCAGAGAGAGGCAGAACCAGATTGGACTCAGACAATCGCCCTGGAAGATACCCCTTCTTATCCTTATGTGGTTCTCCGCAGCCATCATCCGCTCGCCCAGATGACAAAGGATCGTACTCCACTGCCCCATACACTGCTCGAGGAAGTCTCTAACTGTACAGTCTATCTTGTACAGCTCGAGGACTCTCTTTAGCCATGTATGGGGCACCGATTCGAATGCCTTTCTGTAGTCTATCCAGGCGGCGGAGAAGTTCCGACGGTTGCGTTTCACCACTTTGCCAATGACCGCGTCAATGAGGAGTGGTTCCTTGGTTCCACGACCACCGCCCCGACATCCATTTTGAGGGCGTGACATCACCTGATTTGAGTCCAGGTGACAAGTGATTCTCGCGCTCAAAATGGATGTTAGTGTCTTGTATATGGTCGGTAGACACGTGATGGGGCGGTATTTGCTCGGGTCTGTGGTACCCTGGTTTTTAGGAACCAAATGAGTGATCCCAGTAGTGAAGAGGCTTGGGAGCGACTTCTGGTTGAGAGCCTCTTGAAACTGTCGGGCAAGCACAGAGTGACACACCATGAACCCCTTCAGCCAGTAGTGATGCAGCCCGTCAAGCCCCGGACTTTTCCAGTTCGGGGCCCTACGGACCGCCTCAGCTACGTCATCCGGCGTTATGATGACGGGGTCCATGGGCGTAATACCCGCACACTGACTCGCCACAACTTCCGTCCAAGGGCCCTCGCTGTGGTTTACGGGCTCTGACCACAGGCCGCGCCAGAATGCTACAGTGTCGGCCTGATTCGGTGCTGGACCCGTTCCACTTACCATTGGTCGCTCCAATGATTCATAGAGCCTCTTCTGATCACTCTGGAAGAGACGATTCTGGTTGAACCGTGTCGACCTCTCGGTATATCGCCGAATCCGCTTTCCCCAAGCAGCGATTCTCTGCTTCAGATCATCTATGCGCTCCGTCAGTTTTTGCGTTATATCCGGCTGGGACAAACTGACATTTGTCCCAGCAAACGCCATCCTGACGGTACGCACAATTCTTGGCCTGTTGTTGCCTGATCTGAAGCATATCAGTCTGCCGATGAGAGGTCTAGCCTTTGCGATACGTTCCTCAATTCTTCTTCTCCATGCTGGGATAGCGCTACTATGGCCAGTAGCGCGTCCAGCCGTGGAAACCTTGGCGCCTATGATACGGCAGACTGCCGGCGCGGCGCCAAAAAGAATTGAGTCCGTCTCGCAAAGGTCCCGGCTGGCTTCCAAATAGGTCACCAGCATTGGGTTCAGAGCCCTCACGACAGCCCGATTCCGCTTGCTTAGGGCTATGCGGGGAAGTCACGGTCGATTTTCGAGAGGCGTACTGCGCGTTTCCACAATCGCCTCTTCCAATGTACTCCTCATATGCTCTAATTCCAGTTCCTGGGCGACTGTTCCATCATCGTTTGAATCAACCACAACTGGGGTATTCACGGCGGCATCCACGTTTGCGGGTTGCTCTACCATTTGTGGCGCCGCATCCTCAGCCGTAGCATTCTCATCCGACGAGGGAACAGCCTCACGTCGTAGCCGTTCGAGTTCGGCGACATCAAATATATTTGAGCGCAAGATATACCGAACTCGGTCTGCCAGGTTATGCTCTGTGACGGTTAAAGATGGCTCCAGCTCAGCAAAAAGACGATGCATCCCAGCCCGATACGCCAAACATCCAGTTTCTCCCCCTTTCGCCCTAAAATACGCACGCAATGCGTTGCTGTTCATCTGGGTTGTCCAACGCATGCGGCGTACTCCACCAGAGGCGGGTGCCGATTGCTGGGCCCGCGAAGACCCTGCCGACACCAAGCCAGCTGGTGGGGATGATGGATGCGAGGGGCTGCTGGGTGGTCGTGCAGCACCTCGCGCTCGGCTGGCGGTTCGCATGCTGCCGTGTCCAGCGCCAGCTCCAGACGCGCCCTGGCGACCTCCAGGCAGCGGCCCTTTGCGCGTTCTTCCGTATTCCATCATCCATAGTGGTGGGCGTCATTTAGCGGGAGACGCCCAGACCCGGCGCCGTTTCATGGTGAGGCCATGTGCACAAGCGGGCCTTTGCACCTTCAATTTTTGCCGAGGCACGGCACTAACACCTCTTGGCAAGGTGCTGACTGACTGCGCTGACGTAGCGGTTTTGTCACATAACCGTTACGTCAGCGGGCGATGGGGTCGTCACTTCCCTACGCCTTTTCTTGGCAAGGTGCTGACTGACTGCGCTGACGTAGCGGTTTTGTCACATAACCGTTACGTCAGCGGGCGATGGGGTCGTCACTTCCCTACGCCTTTTAATTAATTATTATTATTTTTTAATTATTATTATTATTATTATTATTGTTGTTTTTATATTGATGTTATTATAGTTATTTATTATTATTAATTTTAAAATTATTATTAAAGATTAGCCTTAAAGATGTTTAACAAAGGTGAATTAGAAACATTTGTTTGAATGAACAAAAAGCAGTGCATTGTTACTGTTGCGCGCCTAAGTTGACGTCATGTACCCGGAACTAGCGCCATCTAGTGTCGGGGACGAGAGCGAGGGGAGCTTTCCAGAAAATGACATCACTAATCTTTCAACCGACAGCGCCATCTAGTATCGAAACGAAGAACTAAGCTTCTAGAAGCCCGACACTCGAACTTTCGACGCCTAGTCGATTGGCGCGCGTATTTACTTGAATATTCTGGATGTTTCGGTGATAATGTGTATTTAAAGGCGCTGCAAGATGCGATCGGGGAAGTATTGAATTTGGCGAGACAAGCGAAGCTTCGGAGCGGAATAAAGTGTATCAGTGTGATTAATTATTAGTGTTTTAACTTTAATTAGTGTAAAGTGAATTAAAGTGTTAATTTTGGTAATTCAATCGGCAGTTCAGAACCGCGTACAAAGAATTGCGAACAACATGCTTTTGTTTCTTTTTAATAAGATTATTAATTAGATTTTTAGAAAAACCGTTAGAGACTGCAATTTGATAAATTATATTTAGTTCTTTTAAATAGTTTTTTTTTACTTAATGGAACAGTAAACAGACGGTTGATGTAACAATAAAAAGCGGCTAATTTATGTTGCCATGGATGACACGATGACGCGGCGATGACCGTGTCGGTATGAGTTGGCTTTCGATAAATTTGAAAAACGTGCAACGCCTCTTTTCTTGTTATTGTTAAGTCAAGGAAATTAATAATAATAATAATATTTAAAAAATATCCGACCGACACGTTTGCATTCTGGCGCAGCCTGTGGTTAGAGCCCGTAAACCACAACGAGGGCCCTTGGACGAAAGTTGTGGCGAGTCAGTGTGCGGGTATTACGCCCATGGATCCCGTCATCATAAAGCCGGATGACGTAGCTGAGGCGGTCCGTAGGGCCCCTAACTGGAAAAGTCCGGGGCTTGACGGGCTGCATCACTACTAGCTGAAGGGGTTCTTAGTGTGTCATGCTGTGCTCGCTCGACAGTTTCAAGAGGCTCTCAACCAGAAGTCGCTCCCGAGCCTCTTCACTACTGGGATCACTCATTTGGTTCCTAAAGATCAGGGTGCCACAGACCCGATCAAATACCGCCCCATCACGTATCTACCGACCATATACAAGACACTAACATCCATTTTGAGCGCGAGAATCGCTCGTCACCTGGACTCAAATCAGGTGATATCGCGCGCTCAAAATGGATGTCGGGGCGGCGGTCGTGGAACCAAGGAACCACTCTTCATTGATGCGGTCATTGGCAAAGTGGTGAAACGCAACCGTCGGAACTTCTCCGCCGCCTGGATAGATTACAGAAAGGCATTTGACTCGGTGCCCCATACATGGCTAAAGAGGGTCCTCGAGCTGTACAAGATTGACTGTACTGTTCGAGACTTCTCGAGCAGTGTATGGGGCAGTGGAGTACGATCCTCTGTCATCTAGGCGAGCGGATGACGGCTGCGGAAAGCCGCATAAGGATAAGAAGGGGTATATTCCAGGGCGACTGTCTGAGTCCAATCTGGTTCTGCCTCTCTTTGAACCCTCTCAGTACTTTACTGGAGGGCTCCGGGAGGGGATTTCAGCTTCGGAAAGGAGGTACACTTTTGTACCCACCTTTTCTATATGGATTACCTCAAATTATTCGTCTCCAGTCGCTCCCATCTTATGGAATTGCTAAACATCACTTGTGAATTTAGCAATCGAATCTAGATTCCATTTTAATGGAGCTAGGGACGGATAAGTGTGCGGTCCTCCATGTTGAAAGGGAAAGGGTTGCTAAATTTGAGGGCATAGACTTATCTATGCCCGTCAACTTAAGGACCCTTTCCGAGGCTGAAACATGTCGATACCTGGGTATGTCACAGAACATCGGTATCGATGAGGCTGGTATGAAACAGTCAGTTTGCGACGTGTTTTATGCACGCTTGACCAAAGTGCTTAATAGCCTTTTGTCCGGTGTGAATAAGACACACGCATATAACGGCTGGGTCATGCCTATCCTCATGTATACCTTTGGCATACTCAGGTGGAGTCAGACTGAACTAAACGCCTTGGATAGAAAAGTCAGCACTACAATGACGTCCCAAATGATGCATCATCCGAGATCGTCGGTAATGAGGCTGTACTTGCCGCGAAAGCATGGTGGGCGTGGCTTCTTGAGCGCGCTCACCATGCATAATCGCAAAGTGTGTAGCCTCCGTCATTACTTCCTGGCGAGATCGGATGATCCATTCTATAATGACGTCATTTCTAGTTATAAAGGACTTACCCCTCTATCCTTAGCAAAGAGCAATGGTAGGACCCGGCAGTACAGAGCATTTCCGACCGGGAGACCGTATGGAAGGAGAAGGAGCTACACGGGAGGTACTACAGGGCTCTACATGAGCCCCACGTAGATACAGCCGCCTCCCTCAACTGGCTACGTTTCGGTGACCTCTTAGGGGAAACCGAGGGGTTTGTCTGTGCAATACAGGATCAGGTTATTAAGACCAACAACTATCGGAGATACATCCTAAAGGATGGCACTGTCGACGTCTGTCGAGCTTGTCGCCATCCCGGGGAGTCACTTAGGCATGTCATCTCCGGTTGTTCGGCGCTTTCTAACTCTGAGTACTTGCACAGGCACAACCTAGTAGCCAGAATTCTACACCAGAAGCTCGCTCTGAAATACGGTCTCGTGGACCAGAAATTGCCGTAATACAAGTACTTGCCGGAAGCCGTGCTTGAAAATGACCGTGCCAGGCTCTACTGGGACCGGGCCATCATCACAGACAGGACTGTTCTTGCGAATAAGCCTGATATTGTGCTGATGGACCGGGCACAGTCAAGGATATTTTTGGTCGACATTACCATTCCGTATGACGAGAACCTCGTGAAAGCCGAAACAGATAAACGAACAAAATATCTGGACCTGACTCACGAGGTGACCGACATGTGGGGTGGTATTCCGGCCGAAATTATTCCTGTAGCCGTCTCTGCGAATGGGCTAATCCCATTCAGCCTCTCGGGTCATCTGAGGCGACTGGGACTCCGTGACGGACCGCTCCGGGCTCAAATGCAGAAGGCGGTGCTCCTCGATACCGCCCGCATCGTCCGCCGGTTTCTTTCCCTTTCGTTCAAACCCTCGGCCGTTTGGTCTCTCCTGCCGAGGGCTTCCATCTGGTTGGGTTTTTATTTATTTATGTATTTTTGTATTTATTTTATTTTAATTATATTTATGTATATTTATCTTTTCATTTTAATTTATAATTATATATTTATAGAACCCAACCAGATGAGAAAACTATATAGATATCCCACATAATAATATTTAAAAAATATTAGTCATAACAATTAGTTGCATATTTCTTCAATCCAGGTAAGACACATCATTGTAATTGGTTAGCGGAAGGTTGCAAAGTAATAAATTATTTATTATAATGGATTTCCGCAAAGTAACGCATGATTCTATCAATTATCTTAAAAAGGCTAGCATAGCCGAACAGGCAAGACTACGTTAAATTAACAAAACTACATGGTATTGCTGCTCAAAATGTTTGGTTTAATCAGCAGTGCAAACAACTTCATGTTCCTAATTATATCCAAATACGTTCTAGCACAGATAGTCGAGCGGCCAGTGTTGCCATTTCCAAAGCTCAGAATGTTTGGCTTAATGAAGAATGTCGTCGTTGGTTTGTCAATAGAGATAACTTAAAAACCCACCTTAAGGTATTATATTCTGAACTTTCATATAAATTACATAATATTGAATTTGATATTAAATACATACATAAACACTCACGCCTGTCAC